GCGTCATTGAATATATAATTTAAGAGCATTCCAGTGCCGTTTGAATATACTCTGTCAAAAAAGCATTAATATTGTAACATATTCTGACAGTAATAACTAAATGCATCGTGGGTGGAAGTCTTGAACTGGATTTTCCTAAACGGAAAATAGTTGGGTGAAACAGGTTTGTTGCCAAGCGGGTAGTGCGTTATTAGGAAGAAAAGAGTGCATTGTTTCTCAAAACGCTAGAGCTCCTGAGCACAGTATATTATACTGTACTAAGCTAAAAATTATGTAATCTGCGCAAGATAACTATTATTTTAATTTATTTCAAAGCATTACTTTAATAGAAGAAAATGAAATTATCATTCATCGTATTTGATCATGACACTTAAGAAGATTTTCTGAATAAAGGTCCTTTTGTACAATGGTAGACATGGAGTCCAGCAAAAAATCGTAATAATGTATTTCTTCCCTTCTGATATTTTCACTGAGATGTCGGAAGGAATGAATCACACTTAAAACGAAAACGGTTACGAAAGAGAACAGGTGTATGAAAGACTTAGCATAATATTTAGATAAAATTTTTGAAGGGTCTGTGAAACGGGCGAGAATCAAGATGCAACAAATTCAGGATACTATCCTTCACTGACATGTAATTGAATTCGCCTTCGTAACTCAGGGCCATAAATCTCGTTTTGGAACTCGCAGTTTTAAAGTCAAGTGTTTAGAGTACTATTGAATGTGACTCACAGTCGATCAACGAAACCAAATGTATCAAAAAAACCTCTTGACGGACTGATTCCTAGAATTTCGTCGTGTGATCCTTCTATTTTATGAAATAATGGATATGCTTATTCATAGATTAATATGCAGTCACTTGAATCTGACAGATTGACAAATATACGGAGTTAGCGACGCTGTTCTATTTCGTATCTTCAATATCCGATTATTTGAAATTGTGCAAAATTTTGAAAAATGCAGAAAAAATATTTTTGTGAAATGTGAAAATGGGTAAGAGAAACTGTGGGGGGAATATGCAGGAAAATATGCGTGTAAATATGTAAGAAAAATGTGTTGAAGAAAATATGGGAGAAGCATGTTTGGGAAAATGTTAGGAAAAAGTGTGAGAAATCATACAAATTGTTCAATAGAATTCTAAACACCAGAGTTGATAATTTAGAGTTTTAATGCAGTATATAATGACTTCAAGAATTCACATGCGGAGGCACAAATATATACAAGCAAGTTTATTCAAAAATGTTTGTCAATGGAATGTAGAGAGTTCTACTTCTTAGTGATGGGTAATGCTTGTATGAAATGATTGATATCACTATTTTTACGGAAAAATTACTATTTGAATGTGCAGTATTGCTATAATATAATTCAAATAGTATTTTTGCTGTTATCTCAATCATTTCATACAAACACTACCTATCTTTATATCATTTTCAACATACTTCGATCAAACTACAATATCACTTAGTCGATAATTAGTTATACTTACATATTCTTAAGATATCATCCTTAGAGTTTAAAATGTGAGTCAATAACAATGACTGTCGGTGAAATTTTCAAATATCTAACAAGAAGTGTGTGGAAAATTTATAAGTATTTGAAGAATAATATGCGGGAAAATGGGAAGACAATGTGAAAATGTGATAGTAAACGATGGAAAACATGTATGAAAAATGCCGCGAAAATTGAAAGAAATGTATATGACGAAGGAATGTAGTAACGATAAAATATAAGGAAAATGTGTGGAAACATATCGAGGACAGTTTGAGAGACAAATCGCAAAAATATTTTGGAAAATGTAGTTGGATATACTTTTGGGAAAATGTGGTGGAAATAAGAGGGACTGTAGAGAGTTTGTGAGATATAATACTCCGAAACACAAGGTGAAAGTTGAGGAGGAAATACGTTGGATTATGTACGAAAAGGAAGCGAATGCGGGAGAAATTTTGAAAAATGTTAGAGAAAATGCAAGAAGTAGAGCGAGAGACTTTCGGGAGAAGTAGAAGAAAAAGTAAGAGGAAATGTTGAGGGACTTTGCAAAAATTGTGAGGGAAATTTGGAGGAAAATGACGGAAATTTGAGACACAATGTGAGAGGTAGTTGGTGCGAAAGTGAAGGGAGTTTCGGAGAAAATGTGAGATGAAATGTCGGAGGATTTTATGAGAATATAGGAACAATCTAGTGGGGAAGGAGAGGGCGTTAAGGATGTGGGATGAAACGCGTTTGGTCCGAGCGGCGCGTACTCCGGAAGCGTCCTTGCGTGCGGGCGGCCACGCGACCTGCACGCGCGCGCG